TTATTTATTTATTTATTTGGAGAGATTTTTGCTACAGGGCATGTGCACTCACCAGACAGACAGAGACAGAGAGACAGAAAGTGAGAAATCACCCCCTAGGGTGGATGGCCACACTGCAATCCCTTCTCCTCCGTTCTCCTCTCGGGATCCTGGGCACGCATGCACACGTGCCCAGCATGAGTTTTAAGCCAGCTGGTCCAGGACATGAACTGCGGTTGACTATATGGGAGTCCAGTGACATAGCCATTATGCTAACTGGTGATCCCCTCTAATGATGTTTTGTATTTCTACTTTGTCTGTTGTTATGTTTCCTGCTTCATTGCAGATTTGATTCATCTGGTTCCTTCCTCTCTTCTTCTTAATAAGTGGTGTATCAATTTTGTTTATCTTTTCAAAGAACAAGATTTTACTTTCATTTATTTTCTGTATAGGTTGCTTACTTTCTATTACATTTATTTCTGCTCAGATCTTTATTATTTCCTTTCTCCTGGAGTTTTTGGATTTTATTACTGTTTTTTCAATTCTCTAAAGCATGATGTTAGGTGATCCATTTGCCTTCTTTCCATGCTCCTCTTACATGCACTAATTGCAATAAACTTCCCTCTTGTGACTGCTTTAGCAGTGTCCCAAAGATTATGGAAACTCATGTCGTCATTGTAACTCGTGTCCTCATTGTCATTGCCTTCCATGAATCTTTTAATTTCAGTCTTTATTTCATCAGTAGTTGTGAAGTCATTCAGGAGTAGGTTATTTAGTTTCCATGTATTTGAGTAGTTTTGAGGATATCTCTTGAAATTAAACTTAAGTTTAATTCCATAATGGTCAGAGAAGATGCTGGATATAGTTTCTATGCATTTGAATCTATAGAGGCTTGATTTATGCCTTATCATATGATCAATCTTCAAAAAGTTCCATGTGAGGTGAGAAAAAAGTGTATCTCGTGGTTTTTGGATGGAAAGCTCTGTAGATGTCTGTTAAGTCCATTTGATTTATGGTATCGTTCAGATTTTTTATTTATTTATCTATTTTTTGTCTAGATGATCTGTCCTGAGGGAATAGTGTAGTGTTGAAGTCTCCAGCAATTAGTGTATTCCAATCTATCTCCCCTTTTAGATCTAACAGTCTTTCCTTTGCATATTTGGGTGCCCCTATTTTAGGAGCATAGATATTTATAAGTGTTATATCTTCTGGATCAGTTGATCCTTTTACTACAATATAGTGCCTTTCTTTGTCTCTTCAAACAATTTTTGTTTTAAAGCCTATTTCATCAGAAATTAGTATCACAATTCCAGCTCTTTTTAGGTTCCCATTGGCATGGAAAACCTTTTTCTAACCCTTCACTTTTAGTCTATACATGTCTTTATCCATGAGGTGGGTTCCCTGTAGGCAATAGATAGAGAGTTTCTGTTTTTTTTATCCATTTAGCCAGTCTGTGTCTCTTGATTGGAGAATTTAATCCATTAACATTCAATGTTATTATCGATGTTACCAGATCTGTCCCGTCCTTTAAGTTGACCATTGCCTTAGTTGCCTTTTATTCCTTCGTTTCTGTCTGTTATTTGTTTAGTTTTCCTGGAACAATACTTTCTTTAAGATTTCTTGAAGAGCTGTTCGGGTAATTGGCAAATTCTTTCAGGTTTTGTTTTGTTTTTCTGAGAAGATTTTAATCTTTTTTATCCCCATATAGAGAATAATCTTGCAGAATATAATAATCTTGGTTGAAAATGTTTCTCTCTTAACACTTTCAATACATCTTCCCATTCTTTCCTTGCTTGCATTGTTTCCGTTGAGAGGTCTGGTGTTAGCTTGATGAGATGACCTTTGTAAGTCACTTGTCATTTCTCTCTTGCCAGTTTTAGTATCATGTCTTTATCTGTGGTCTTGGACAGTCTGACTAAGATGTGCCTTGGGAAAGATCTTCTGGGGTTGATTCTATTTGAGGTCCTTTATATTTCTTGGGTCTTGATGATAGAGTGCCTCTCTAGACATGGGAAATTTTCTTCCAGGATTTCATGGAATAGATTTTCCATGCAGTTATTAGTTTCTTCACCTTCTGGGATGCCAATTATTCTGCTATTTGGTCATCTTATGGAATCTAGTATTTCTCGTATATTATCCTCATATTTTTTTGTTATTTTCTCTATCTTCTCTGTGTTTTTTTTTTTCTACATCAGAGGTTTTATCTTCTACATCAGAGATTTGATCTTCTGCATGGGCTAAACGACTTTTAGTACTTTCAAGAGGGTTTTTGATTTCCTGTATTACAGATTTCATCTCTAATAGTTCCATCTGAAACTTTCTCAGAGTATCCATTTCTTCTTTCATATTGTGGAAGGTCTTCCTAATCTACTGTAGCTCATTGTCTCTTTTCTGTACCAACTCATAGAATTTGTTCAATGTTAATGTTCTAAATTCTTTCTGTGACAATTTGGTAATGTCCTCAGATTTTAAGAGAGATGGAGGGGAGTTATTCCTTTGATGGGGATATATTTCCTGGCTTATTCAGACCTAAGGCTATTCTTCTACTTCTAGCCATTGGAAGATGAATTCATTTTCGAATACTTCTCATGAGAACATTTCTTGTACTAGGAGCACGTGTGTTTCCCTTTTGCTGTGAATTGATGTGTGTGGAAGTCTTCTCTTCTGTTGTTTTTATCAATGTGGCCTCAAGAGGTGTACTCTACTCAGGTGTGTGAAGAGTACTATCTTTGTATTCACAGGTTGTTCAGGGGAGGATCTCAGGGAACCGTACAATACTAGGGAATTTCAGAACTTTGATTAGATCTGTCTAATCCCTCTGGCAGGGTGGAAGATGAGGAAGACAGGATAATGTAAGACAAAAGAAAAATTCTAGAGGAGAATAAAGAAAAAGTAGCGTGCCACCAGGGGTCTAAAAAGAATAGGATCCTGCCTACCTCTAAAGGGCATGGATTCCTCGTCTTGGGATCCTGGAAGTGGAGCAGGGGCAGTGGTGCCCCTGCCTCAGTTTTCCTTGTTGGCCAGAGGTCTGGAGATGAAAATGGAGGGCTCCTGAGAACAAGGGCCCATATCTAAGGGCCTGGGGTCCTGGTCTTGGGAACCTGGAAGTGAAGCAGGAGCAGTGATACCCCTGCCTCAGTTTCCCTTGCTGGCCAGAGGTCGGGAGGTGGAAATCATCAAGTATCTATTCTTGAACATTTCACTGTATTGTATTGTACATTATTTATACTAATGTAATTATTTTTTTAAAGTTGCCAGGGGTTGCATATACTCTCCTGAGAGAAAAAAAAAACAATTTTCATGGAGAGTGGTCACCCAGCAATCCCTTGTCCTCCATTAAAAAATATGTGTTCAGGGACACATACATTCCTGAAGTGTTTATCAAGCTCTAGGTCCAGGACTTGAACTTCAGGGTTGTTCACGTGAGATTTCATTACCTCAGCCACAAGGCCATGGAAACAGTCCAATTATTTTAAAATCTAGGTCAATAATAGCTGAACTCTCTAAGCAAATATAACAATTATACATATACCTTTTGCGAAAAAATTTTCTTTTGAAATTTTACCTAATCTTGATCTTTAAATGAACACGTGGTCATGTTGTGGTTATAAAAAATATTTCAGCAGGTAGTGTGGTGATTAGGGTGGCTGGGTTTACACATGTCCTACCCTGAATTGAGTCCTGGACTTGGTGGCCTGAAAATCATGCTGGACATGGGTGTGTGAGGGCCCAAAGTCCTGAGAGGAGCAGGGATTCCAGCATGGCCATCTCCCCAGGGGGGTTATTTATCACATTCCCTTTCTCTGTCTCTCTCTTCTCTGGTGAACACACACACTCTATAGCAAAAAGCTAAACAAACAAGAAAACAAATAAATCCCTTCAGGAGCTGGCACATGGTGTGGTGATTTATGTGGACTCCTACAGCTGCTGACCACAGTTGGAGCCCTGGAACAGGAGCTTGAAAATCATGCCAGGCATGTGTTTGTGTGTGTCCAAAATCACATTAGGAGAATGAAAGAGAAGGATTGCAGTGGGCCATATCCCCTGGGGGTAATTTCTCACCTTCCTTTGCACTGTGTCTCTCTGGTGAGTGGGCATGCCATAGGGCAAAAACCTTAAATGTTATCAGGTGGTTGTGAAGGGTGTTTACCTGCCAGGGAAGAATAGGTTGGTTTGCATCTTCTAGAGATCCTATTTCTATTTTATGTAAGAGCATCTTATAAAGAACTTGGGCCACCACATGCACAGCATGATAGATAAAAAACCTGGAGTCAGACATGGTCATCATGTCCAAATCAGATGATAGAAACTCTATGGAAGAATTAGGTGGGCAGTCTCCAAGTTTGCCACATAGTGACCCAGTAAGTGAGCAATTAAAAAAAGAAACCCAAAATTTACTGAAGTAAAAATCTTCTGGGTATTGGGAAGGGTTCAGTGTTTGGAGAAATTGTTTAAAACAAGGAATTTCCTTTTTTTTGGATTGAAAATAAGAGGCTTCCATGGAAAAAGTATGGCATGTCATACAAAACATTGAAAATAGTTTCCCACTGTGAGGATTGGAAATTTCTCATGATCCGAACCTTTCCCAAAATCAACCAGAATGATTTTTTCATCCCCAGGCTGCAGACACTCTCTTCATCAGCATGTATTATATAAACATTTGCAGATGAAACTCTGACCCTCTTCACAAGAGTCAAGTCACATAACATAAAGACACCTTTTGTGGCAGGGAGCTTTTCTGTAAAGGCCGCACAGATATCCGTTTCTATCATCTTTGACTTTATATCTCGAAGGAACTGCTCCCCTTGCATATCATCAGACACATAGAATGCCACCCATGTCCAGCCAAATTGCAGTAACAACCAGATGATTCCATGAATCAGAGAGCTGTCCTTGTTGGCCATCTGATAAACTGATGGAAATTGGTCTTTATCACTTAGGGTGGGAACAAAAGAACCATAAGTGACCTGAATAAGAAAAGAAAAACATGATTTTGACCTTAGAGTGATTTTGGATGGG